CATGGCTCCCATGTCCACACTTTTGGGACTGAGAATCATCTGGATCAAGTACTCCAACATTTGAATGTCTACATGCAGCATCACACACGCTTGGTGATTTACTGTGAGAGTTTCTGGGTTAAATTGAAGCAAGGTTACCAGTCTCATGATGGTTGTGATCAAGTTGTGGTTGATAACAGGTTGGTTGAGATGTACACAGGCGTGAGGTTTTTAGATGTGTATGTGATCGCCCAACAGGTGTCATAAGTGTTTGGCTAATCTCTGGCAGAAACTCAGTGTCCTGTTACTACAATACTGGGATGTTTTTGTCTTGTGGACAAAGATATTGTCAAGTTCTTGCAATTGCCAAATATAGTGGTCATTCACACATTGATTATTTTCTGGTGGTTTGATATCTGGAATGAGTATCTGTCAATGGCAGCAGTGAGGATTATGTATTACATCTGCCTTTCTACAGTTTCACTATTGAGTGGGACCTTATCTATTTGCAATCAATGTGCACTGATCCTGTATTTTTCATTGATTTGTCATCATGTAGTGGTGTGCCAAGAGCAACATCCTCATATATAGTACTCTGTCCCTGGCGCATTAATTATGTATAATGAGATGTTTGAGAAAGACTTTTCCAGCTTGCTACTACATATACCCACTGAGTATCATAATACATACATTTTCATAGCTGTGCACGCTATCAAAAAGAGAGGGAGATAGATTGGCAATAGTATCAGCTGGTAGCATGATACTATTAACACAAGACAAGAGGGATGCCTTACTGTATGGAGACCATTATGCATAATTTTACTCACGCTGTCTCATGGTTTTGAGTATGGATGGTGACTGCTCCAAGACTTTGGTATGGTTGCAGACTGTTGTGAAAACCAACAAGTTGTGGGTTTTATTGAAAGTAATCCCTAGTTCTCCCTGGTTGCAGACAGTTGGCACTGGTAAAGTGCATGTTTTCTGGTAAGGAATGTTTGGAAAATGGTTCTTTGACAGGGTTGAAATATGCAGCATACTTTGACTACATTGTATGTGGGGAGTTGTGGATGGTTTTAGATAACATGAAGACTGGAATGCACTATCTCCGCGGGTGGAATACGGTTGTCTTTAACCGCCCCTGGGCACGTAAGTAGTGAAGAAAACACGTTTATCGACTCTCTGGCATTATCAAACACCTCATGGCCCCAGTTACAAGAAATTCAATTTGAAAAATTTGAGATGGGAGTCGAAGGCCTCTCCGCACTACTTCACAAACTTCAAGGGTCTCTTCGCTTCCTCAAACTAGAATCAGTGAGCATGTCATATGACAGCGGTGATGATCTGAAGTCACTATTCCAAGACCTGGGTAAATTCCCTAAGTTGGAGACAGTCAAATTTTGGGACCTGTGGGTTGGTGCATGCTTTTTCGCCAACAAGCTGGTCCATTTCCCTGCGCTCTGGGAGAACCCTATCATCGACGAAGTGCGAGGAACAAGATTTGCATACATGTGCACTGGCCGGAAGGGCGCATGGAGGATCGCGTTTGTAGATTACTCGGGGCCAAATATGGATGTTGCTTTGGAGGTTCTCGCGCGAACTTTGGAGGTTGTCTAGCTCCTTTTCTAAGTTCTCTTTACCTTGTTAACTCCTCCTCGTTGTTACATATTGTGTGTAGCCAGACGATATCCCTGCTTCAGTTTCAGCACAGATCAAAATATTTCTGATACAACACCAGTCGTGATCATGCTAGTAGTGGCCTCATCTAATGACAACGCACAATTCAAGGATAACATTTTTTCAAATCGATGAGGACTGTCCATAGAGCCTTGGTCGATATCTGCCATTCACCCCGGCAGACTCATGACAGATGGGCATGAGCACGAGTCAGTTGAAAGGCTTAGTCTGGACCGTTTTCAAATACAAATACTCCGTGTTGTTGTATAGTTCCCATTGTTTGTACGAAGCAATCTATCGAAGAATAGTTTGCCATTACTACACGTACACGCTCCCAGGTAATACAAAACTCATTCCACATAACAAAGAGGCCAATTATCGTGCTCAACTCATATATCATTGGATATCGAACTTGGCCACGCCAACCTTCACGGACGCTCCGTGTGGGCCGTGCACATCGGCAAGATTGTAGGGTTACGAGGATTGTTGCATAAGTTCTTAAATAGTCACATGACTTGTTCCATACAGACAGGGAGGGTAACCTAAGCTGAGAGTCAGCCTAGGCCACACCCACCCTGCTCTGAAACACAAGGAGAGCACTCTGCTCGAAAGCCCTGCGCATACAGGCGGTCTGGGGCGAGGAAAAGGATCAGAAATATTATAGAACGGGGGTGTTGCCTCAGGAACTCATAGGGACAAGAGACCGTAGAATAGCTGCTGGCCTCGAGTCCATGATTTATGGTCTGTCATAGCTCTAGGGCTCGGTATGGACAATAAACTTGATTAAATAATAATAATAATGTTCCATACAGAGTAGGGTAAAGCAGTCACATGATCTTTGTAAGAACTTTAGAACTACAGCTCTCGTGGATGATTCTGGTCCCCTGATTCCAGGAGTCCATTCGCTGAGTGGGACTTTTGATATGAACCAATGGACTTCTATCTAAAAAGCAATTTGGTATTCAACTGCAGGAATGCAGAAATTCTTGACCGCAGCTCACTTTTACCTCCATAGAGCGATATCAGCTCCGACCCCAGTACCACCAATGCTGCTACCGCTGTTGAACCATGGGCGCCAAATTACTGGAATATATATAGTAGTACGGAGGGCTGTAGTATGGCTTTTGAATTTGATTGAGCGACCAAGGGAAGCGGATCCGCTACGATCAGAAAGAACCCCGGCATAGTTCTGAAGAAGAATGGGAATTGCTCATTGGTGAGAAAGCATTGTATTTGAATCCAGCTTTAGTTGAGGCGCGCTAAGGCTTTCTAGATTTCATCGACATGAACATCTTCTTGTCTGTTTCAACGTCTGAAATCTCACGTCGATAAGAAAGCAAGCTCCGTGCATCCTCTGTCCGATGATTTGTCAACGCAAAGATGAGATTAAAAACATTGAGACCACTTCCATTAATAGCATCATCACCTTTTCCCGCTGAAGAAGCGCCTCGGACCCCCCTTGCAAGGAACCATCGTCAACCAACATATCAAAAACGCACAGCCTAAGCCCAGCTTCAACCAACCAATCCTCACACCACGCACCCAAACACCCAGGAGAAGCGCCAGTATCAAGCATACTGCAGAGAACAAGCAGAAATAAGCCCATGAAAACTGAAACCTTGCCTTATTAGGTCAATCCGCCAAATCTGCAAGCCCTGCAACTTCCCGATTGCTTGGTCTAATTCAGCATGTTGAGCCGCAGACAAGCAAGCAAACAAATCATACCGTGTAACTTATATTGACCTTATATAGGAGTTAGCCCTTATAAGTAGCCTTGCGGAACTTGAAGCTCTCATGTTATTGTCTCTAATCAATCATCTTCACAAATTCACAATGTCTTTCTCAAATCTCTCCTCGGAATTGGTCGAAATGGTGGCTTCCTTCTTGGAAGTACCAGACCTGCGCAATCTACGGCTGACATCTCCACTCATTGCAAATCAGACATCTCATATGTTATGGAGGACAGCCCTGCATACCCGCAAGACAGATCTCTCAGCCACCAATTTGACCAAACTGGAGGCCATTTCAGATACCCTCCAATCGCGCTATGTGCGCCACCTAACTGTGAAAGGGTTCGATGAAGATAATCGAACTCTCGGAGAAGGGCTAGCCGGGCAACGTCTCCAGAAAAGAGAACTAGCTCTCATATGGCTACTTGTCATACTCATCCGGTTCAATAACTGCACGTCCTTCGAAATCGACGCTGTGTCGGATTGCAATTCCCCGATTTTTTCAAGCACTTTGTATCACACAGAGGCTATTTCACTCATTATGGCGGTGATTACCATAACCAGCCATCCCGTTACGTCGTTCACGGTTAACTACCGCAACGGCTGCCCAGATATATCCGAGCTTGCTGCAGTACACGTCAATGATCCTCGATTTGGTGCTGGATGGGGACATCTAAAAGAACTCAGATTGAACCACACCGTGGCCTTTCCAAAGGTGATGCAGTGGATGCTTGATGTGATTATCTGCGCGCCTAACCTGCGCATCTTATACGTCAATCTGAACAGGGAGTACGAGACAGGGTGGTTGACTGGTCGATTGGCTTCTGCAAATATCCCATGGCCGTACTTAGAGAAACTGCATTTGAAAAGGGTGCATCTAACAATCCAGGATCTCTCCACCCTCTTATACAGATGCCGAAATAGCCTCCGCGTCTTGGTCCTATCGTCACTCGACATTGAATCCAACAGTACCGGCGATGATTTACAAGCGCTATTCTGGTCTCTCGCTGACTTCTCAGCGCTAGAAACAATCCACATCAAAGGATTGTCCGGCAATTCCGCCGAACATGTGGAAGGGGTTGTCCACTTTCCTGCAATTTCCGAGGATCCAGCCATAGATTGGGAATGGGAGATGAGGCCTCTTCAGGTGACTAGTCATTTGTGGATTAATGCTAATGTGAGGTATTCGGGGACGAGGGTGGGTGATGTTTTGAGGTTATTGGCGGGGAGGTTGGAGCTTCTTTCGACGGACTTGGTTTGATGGGTGGTGTTTCTGTAATGTGCAGTGATTTATTATTCAATGGCTTTTGTACATAATACCAAGATAGAATGGAAATAATTGAAAACATGACATCCAGTTCAATAATCGATGATTTTATCCACCAACAGCGCGGAGTTTTCATTCAATTAGCCATCACACATTCTCGAAGTGTAGATAACCAGGGGGATAGACTTAATTGCTCACCCGGCGACTCATCCCATGATTGCCATCAATAGGAGCCAGTCGCGGCCTCTCGCGGACACCTTGTCACTGCTGTCGCGCGGCTGGGCTTTGTCCTGGGATTCCCAGTGACACAGGCACCAATGTGCTTCCCATTCGGGAAATTATTTGTTTGCCATTCTGTAGCAAACAAAGCGGACCGTGGTCGCGGTCATGATCATGATTCGTAGTAAACGGGCCACAAGCCCAACTCCACCTCACTCACCCCGAACCTCAACCCCTCTCCCCCCCAACCTCAAAATTTTTCAACTCAATAAACCCATCCGACTCCCTCTTCAACGCCTTAGCCTTCGCCCCAACATCAACCGAATACGACACCGTCTTCGAAATCCGACCCTTCTCCTTCTCCCCCGTACTCGACCCCGCCCCGGCAAAAGCGGAAAGAGCAGCTGTTTTGCTCGAAGCTCCTGTTGCGGTCAGGTATGGGCGGGCAGTTGAGGAGTCGTGGGTTGTGTTTGCGCCGGGGAGGATGCGGACGAAGAGCGCGCGGCTTGTGGGAAGGCAGGCGCAAATAATGGCGATTTGGCATTCAATTACGGACCAGTGGTTTAGGGGTTCCATTTCGACTGTTTTTGTTTTTTTGTTAGTTAGGTTTGTGTGTGGATAGGAGAGAGGGAAGGGGTTGCGCACAGGTTGGGTTTGTGTTGGAGGTGTTTCGGGAGAAAATGACCACTCGGACGATTCCAATAGCCGTCAATCTTTCGCAGTGTCAGCATACTCATAGCCCACGCACAAAGACAAATTGAAGGGAAAACATACACCAACCCCATCCCCAACATAACAGCAACCCCAGCCTTCTTCTGTACCGACAAATTCAACCTCGACACCTCATAAACCGGCATAATCACCATGACCGTATCCACCACAATATTCACAAACCCGTTCGCAAACGTCGACGCAATAAAATTGATACACGTCCCTTGTTCCTCCATCGCCCACCCTGTCCACGCAAGATGCACAGGTATACAGTGGAAGCTGTCTGTCAAAATCCAGGTGATCGCGACAGCGGTGTTGATGGCTATCATGGTGTAGGTCGTGTAACGGAAGGCGGGGGATTGGAAGATGCGAAGGAGGAAGAGGCAGACGGAGATTTTGGCGAGGGAGATTAGGGCTTTGTAGACAAGGACGAAGGCGAAAAAGTACTGTTCATGTTGGATTGGGTTAGAAGATGGGCTGTGGGAGAGGCTAGAGGGGCGGACCTTGTATGCTATGGTGATGTTTTCCTGGGGGACTATGTCCCATATGTTCATTCCGAAGCCGTAATGGACCACTGACTCGTTAGCACCTCAGTTTTGGTTTACCAGCATGGCTTACTTACTTGATATATTCAAAATGAACGCAATAATAGCCAATGCCTGAACAGGTCAGCATAAGCCACAACTCCGGTTCTAAGAGATATCCTCACATATGCAGTAATAATAGTATAATCATCCGGCCCCCATCCACCACCAAGTCGCAAGAACTTAGCGACCATCCGAATCACAAACAGAATGGTCGCGATAACGAACGGAATAATTGTCGCAGGGTCTGCCTTGGGGTATCGCTGAGGAATTGGGAGATCACATTGCCGGGAAATGATGTATTTTGCCGCTAAAGGTATTCAGATTAGCTCGTGATGAGTGGATTAATCTGAGACATGGGGTAGGTACTTAATGCTTCTTTCATGGAACAATTGGTCATAGCGCAATTGGACAGATCGGTTTGATATTGTGCATCGTCGCAGAGACATGCCGTGTCGGTGTTCGAGCAGGACGTTGTATTAGTGAGTTGTTGTTCGCAATTGAGCTATTTGCTGTTAGATGCTGCGCGACATGAAAAAAGAGGTCCGGAGCATACAGCGCATTCAGGAACAGTCTCCGATGCAGATGCGACCACGGGCACGAGTGCCAGGCATGCCAAAGAGAGAACAACCGCATACTGCCGATACAGGCGCATTCTGAACAACCACCAGCGCAAAACACGACGATCTCAGGATGTCGAAAGGGAAAAAAAAACATAGAATGCCAACGTCGCGAATCCATGACGAGCGCGACTTTTATTACGCTCCATTTTAGGGGCAATTTCTCTACCTTGTGGTTGGATGACAATCACTCCAACGCTGATCAATAGCATGGCACCTGTCGTGCCGCAATTTTTCCATTAAACCCACTCAGATTAGGGTTTATGTAGTCCCCGAGTACGTATTGGTGGCAATCGGAGCACTATCGAAGTTAACCAGAAGACAGAGAAGTTCGTCCGGCAAAACGGCTAATAACGATCATCGTGGGACAGTTCATGCCCGAAATAAGATGGCATGCGCTTTCCCAGACGGGTTAAGTATGCGTCGATTAAACTTTGACACGCTTGTCAAGGAACGGTGTCCGCTGCCATATAATTGAATATTATTGGTGTTGATGGGCGGTTCCCCACGGAAATAGTACTCCTTCGGGGGGTACTATAAATGACAAGCTTTTGAGGACGGCAGAGCACGTTCTTTTGTTCCTGCATCTGGGATTCTTATTATGAGGCACTTCTGCATTGTACATATTATTGTTTTCGGGGGATCGGAGTCGTGCACGAGGTGTAGGGGGGTTGACGCGCACGGGCTGTGATTATCCCCCTTAGCTCCGCCTATAAAGCTAGAGAATACCAAGTCGAGACCACCTAGTGAACCATGGTAGTTCTGAAGATAGTCGGAAGAACATGTGCAATTTTTGTGGTTCAAACCCCTGCATAATCGCCTGCGAAGTCATGTGATAAACGGTCTTTATTCGAAATGCCATCGTACGAGTATTTTATTTCTCCCTTTCCTTCTATCCTTTCTCTCTCGATATAGGCTTCTTGTTTGTAGTGGTGCTATCACCAAGACATGTCACTTTTAACGTATGAAGAACCACCGCCAGATCAACATCGACCGCAACCATGGAAATCATGCCTCCATAACACCGAGCTAAACTCTACTCTGCCACGAAAAACGAAACTACCCGCGGCATATTATTCCCTAATACATGTACAGACACTAACGAGCAGATCGACCAGAGCGATGTATTGCCATCAATGGTGAGATCATGGATTCATTGGAAGCTCCCCTGTACTGTGACCCACATGCGAGCGTTTGCATCAGCGACAATTCCAGGCTCGTGAATATTAGCTCTGCAAGCCTGGGTGTCAAATAAGAGTAACCAGAGACCGCGACGTGCTAAGCTCGTCAGGTCCGAAGGACTTTGGTTCCAAGAGCATCCGGCCAATCCTCTTCATCGCCTTCACATCGTGACCAGCAGGCGTTATGATCAGAGATGTGTGAATGGGCTCTTTGCTCAGAGGTAAATTCTCGCGAATCCTGTCATCCGAGATATCAGCTAGAACCAATGCATAAAGTTCCATGGCCTTAACCAACTCCGATGAGTCGTCAAAGTCTCTGCCGATTGTATCAAAGCTGGCTATATCATCGTCATGGTCACCGTTTACCGTCTTTAGGCGTATGTTCCCGACAGGCCCCTTGGTATCAGAAAGAAGTAGCAGAATGAGGGGCGCATCGATCTTGATCCAACCGGCCTTCACCCTGCCGGACGGGTTCTCTCCTTCTGTGTCAACGTGGCAGTCAAGGACCGAGGCTAGCGCTGCCAGTACTGATCGAGGTCACCACCGAATGCGCCATGACAGAGGCCCATGACCAGGACGGCGCACAATACTCACTCACGGCTTTGCAGCCAACGCTGGACTGCCAGGCTAGTCCCCTCAGCATGAAGTTTCGCCATAAACCAGCGACATATGAATCACCAAGTATGTCGCTGTACTCTCTCGCGATTCCAGACATGGCTGATAGTTTGTCGGAGGGGAATGTGAGCTTGCGACGGCCATAGCTCGACACAAGATTGTACCATTACGCTAGCGCATCCCAGTAAGAGCTGCGGCCGGGTACCATATCATTTGTATTCTGGTGATTTATGAGGCTAGGCTGCGAGAATGGACGGATACAATCGTGTCCATTGAATAACTCAATGCCATCTTCCGAGACTGCCCATTCAGCCTGCTAGCAGATCAATTAGTGAGGCCAATCTCGCGAAACTTCAAGACGCAACAATTCTAACAAAAAGTGCGCAAACTATACATATTCATCCAAATTGATGATACAGTCTCCCTCACGCTCCTCGCCAGCAAAAAAAATAAACAAAAACATACAACAGCCTAGATTCGCTGGTAGTCACCCACCCAACTCGGATTCGGGTTCAGATTTATCCATGTTCGTCCCTGCCAATCTTAGTCCATGGCTATGTGGGAACTGTTCCGCCGCCTGTAAGCAGTCGGGAGTTATTGATACCTATTTACATGTATGGTGTGTGCTTGAGCTGAGGGCCCAGCTCCGCTCAAAGTCGTGAGAATCTAGGGCTCCCCGGGCCCTCTCTGGCTGCTATTTACCACAAGACCTAAATTACAGTAACATATTGTAATTGGATCTTGCGGATAAATCCAATACGCAAAATCCACTCCAATCCACTCCATTCGGATTATCCGCGCCGCTGCGGACTTTCTCAACTTCCATCCGAATCCGCAATGGCGCGGATTTTGCGGCTTCGCTGTGCCACTCTAATCGGAGGTATCAATGATCCGCAGTTAGACGAGGTCTTATATGGAGGAACCTATTAAAACGAAAGAGGGCAATATATTCTCGTATTTGATAGTCTGATTGCTTGAGTGCTTGTCTATCTAATCGTGCGTATGTATGTATGTATGTATGTATCTATTTTACGTCGAGGGTCGGGTCTTTCCACGGCTCTTCTATGGAAAAACCCTGGTCCCGGAGCGGGACATACGACGGGCAGATCGAGACTGACCATGGCCTCCTTCTAGGAGCCAGCGATTCGTCTCTGTACCTAGATCATACCTCCTTTGACCCCGTGAATATTACACTCGTCCTCCTGCTGCGAAGTGTCATACCCTTGTATGAGCTATTATTCACACTATTTATCACCAACCCAGGCTACAGTTTGAACACTTGTTGGATATAGGTAGGATACATTTATTCCCTAGGTCTAGCACTCACCTAGTCTGTCAGGACACATTCAGTGAACACATCACAGGTTGACATAGTACATAACTTGTGTTGTATTAGAATACATAGCAACATGAAGACTGGAGAGTCGAGACGGAGACAGGCTCTCTTACCCTCATGCTCCTAGCAATGTTAACACGCCTGGTGACGTTAACTGGATTAAACGGTTCATTGAAATAACTCTTATTTTATCCATGACTCTCTTTACCACCAACACTTTTGAAAGGATATTGTTTATATAGGTTGATAATTATTCTGTACTACAAGTACAGGCCAATGTAGATATATACAGCATTTCTTAAACATGTGAAGCCTCAAAGTACCTCAAGGGGTCCTGTCACGGAGCGTGGGCGCTCGCCAGCGGCATGATATGTTTGACTACTTTGGCCTGCTTGGAGGAACTTCTTCGCACGCAGTAGATAGTTCAGCACTGGAAGGCCCAGCTTCTTTCCCTTCCTTCTTCATGTTAGTATTTCACTAGATAGTCTACCAATAGACTCATATTGTTCGAGACCGTCACACGCCATGCAATATTCATCTGCATCTTCAACGGCATCTCTGTGATAAGATACGGGATTCTCATCTCAGACATGCCCTCAGGAGTACACTATTTCAGCACATTACTTATCGCTTTAGGTCTCTATGTGGCCGTTGGATTACCGCGCTTGCTTGGTTACCAACTAATATACCCTGATATGGCAAGCGGTCATTTGATACAGGTCTGCTCACTTTTGGTAATGTGAGTGGTGTTATGTTGCTGTTTTTGTGTAAGATAAATGAAGCGCTGTGCTATGTTTATGGGAATGCTGTGACCTTGTATATGGTAGGGTTTGGGGGTACTGTTTTTTGGTCTTATGTGGGTTTATTATCACTTTGTAAAACCGGGACAGGGCCCATGGTAAGGAAGATGACAAGATTGCGGGGATGTCGGAGGAAGGCATCCAGGAGATGGGGGAGAAAAGCCCTTGGTTTGTGTATAGCATTTGATGTTTTCTTTTTAGGATTTTCATTATGAGTCCTGGGATTCAATAGATATTAGAACAATTTGAAATAAATTTGTTCCAATAACGACATACGCCATTACAACTCGTCCTAGCAGAGCCTGGAAAACGCCAGTTTCACATTTGCTTTCCTTTGGTCATTAACACCACAAACGGCTTAAGTATAAAGCCGCAAAGGATCAGGAGTAATGACCTCCTGAGATGAAAAGCTGCAATGACCATACCCCGCGAAGCATTCTTCATCAGGGCCATTGTTCTCGGTTAATGAACGGGCACGGCTTTCCTCCCCGTCGGGCTGGCGGCTTCGCGTATCCGGACTAGATTCAGAACCATTTGTTGCTTCTTCATCATCTTCACTACTGGCTCTCGAACGACTGCTCTCAATCAATAAATGTGTATGGCTCCCCTTCCATTGCCTCTGATCTGAACTTGAATCATAGCCGTCGGGCTCGCAGCCTCGTGTATCCGAAGTGGAATTAGAGTGATTTGTTGGCTCTTCACCTGCTTCACTGCTGGTTCTTCTCGAATGGTTGGCCTTTTTCATGAGAACCTCACCCCACATGACTGGCTTGACTGCATGGTCATCGCCAGGGGGTGGATGACACGCAGCACTAATAGCTGCGCTGCAACTGGCGGCAAGAGGTATGCTGGATTTGAAGCGCCCCACCCCCAGGCCTATAATCGTGCACACCATTAGAAATCCGAGAGATATGGTGAAAATAATTGCAATTGGCGAATGGCCGCACGCTACTAGCCGATAGTCGGGCATAAGAATCCCAGTTAGGTTGTATGGAAAAACCTCAACAAAGAAAAGACTCTGGGACACAAGCCAGTGTAATAATGCGTGACTGGCCAGAAGCGGAATACTATATCGGTATGGAAGGCTGAGGTAGTAGGTTGAACGCTGGAGGCCCCTTGGCCAGGAAACACGCAATGGTTTGCGCTGTCTAGCATAATCATCATACTCAGCAGCAAGAAGCATGTTAGTCAACAGGTTGTTGTAGAGAAAATAGGCAATGGAGACAGGGATTTGTGGGCTGTTTGCAACAAGGATTGTGTTTATAAGTCCACAGTTGTTAGAACCACAAAGCCGTACTATTGTGGATGAGGTGGCAGTTCCAAAACCAAGGTTCCAGAGACTTCGGAACGTCACCGGTTTGGAAGTTCCTGTTTCAATAGCCAGTGAAAGGAGAGCACTTGAGAAGACCAAAATAAGCAGGCAGCTATATAAGTTAGTAGAAGCATACATGAAAAGATGGCTGCCAGGTTAAGGTGTGCATACAGAGTGATTGTTACTGTCCAGTATGAGATGCTAACGGCTTTCATCCATCTTTTTTTACCGGGGAGGCGAGCTGCAGGTTTTCCATGTGGAAAGTCGTTATCGTTAAGAGATGCGCTCCATGGCCGTGGGCCTTTTTCGATGTTTGATTTTGACAATAAACACCTGCTTTCAGTTGTCCTATCAGGATTATTGACAAATGATGATATGGCGTCTCCAACTGTCAGGAATATTTCCTTCCTGTCATCATGAGCCGTCAAGAACATACAAACAACTTTAATGGCATTGCAGAAAATAACAGCAAAACATATAGGGAGACTGAATAGTAGCTGACATCTTTCGTCGATCTTCTGGCTTAAACAATAGTCGACTGGAAAGGCATCAGGAAGAGGATTGATGGGCCAACCATCAGGTTTGGATGGACACACCACATTTGGTTCCTGAATTATAATGTTTCTTGACCAGGAACTGTTCTTCCAGTGACTTGCATTGAGATGTTGTCGCAACTCTTCCTCAGGAGGCCAATGTTTCATGAATTCAAAGAGATTTGATAAGTCCTCTTGCTCATCAGGGGATGAAGCGAAATCCCAAATTTCATTCTGCGCGTCGACATTGAAGGTATATGTGATGTTTGAGAAGACGGTCACATTTAGTAAAAAAGCTGACCAGGGTCTAGATTTTAGAGACCAATTGGCAAGATCATCCTTTGTACATGAACCCCCGTGCTCATTCTCGCACATCCACTCAAAAGGATCATTCACCTCTTCCAGTGGATTCACGATGGCAACATGGCGTAACCAATCATTATCAGTCGAATTGTTGGTGACAATGATTAGGGTTCCTCGATCTGTAATGAAATCCGCAGCATACGTATTGATGCATTCCTGTGTATTAAGGCGGTCAAATTCTGACATTTTAGAGCTGAAACTCGATATGTTCATAGCGACGTTCTGTTCAAAGCAATTTGCATAATCAGGATCATTATTCGGTGGGTTGTTGAAGTCGAAGTTTGCAGATGCATGTAGGACACTATACTGATTTGTGCCCAGTGCAGAAAACACAGCAGAGTTGTATCTGGGTTTCATGATTAGAACCAAATTATAATAAAGGATATGTTGCAAGCAAACATTAGATGAATTGGTAGGGATGATATCAAAAGCAGCACCCATAATGTGCATCTCCTCCAGCCAACAAAGCTAAGATTCTTCATACTGGATACACCAATGTCAAGCCACCGCCGCTGAGTGTGGGCGGTATCGACATTTTGGCGAGATGGTGAAGATAGACATTGCATGCAATAGTTGCTTGCCGCCAACATGATTGTACTGAGGGTATTTATCAGCAGGTGCAGGCCACGTTCCCAGTTTTTTGAAACAGAGCAATTTCCTTCATAGAGCATGGCGGAAGTGAATTCTCGACCGTCAAACTTTGAATATGCGAGGATAACAGCGATGATGGCGAGAGCAGTGTTTATAAGTAGAACAAGAGAGGCAGCACAAGCACATATGAGAACACCTATGACCCATCCCCGTTGGTGGTTTTGCTCATGCTGGATTTTTTGTTCTATTTTGTTGGCTAAGCTTTGAGGTAAACAGGAAGTAAACTTTGATATCAAAGATGTGCTTGAAATGCTAGAATCTTTATTGGAAGAATGACATGCCCTGCAAACCTTGTCAGCAAGATTGACCTCCAAATGTTCAATGGGGTTAGGATAGTAACCTGCCAAGTTCAACCTCCTCAGTGTTGATTGCACTTTTCGAGCGACGTTGTACTCGTCGATATTTCGGTTTGTTAAATGGCCAATACCAAGGTCGGTTTACAGACCGTGATGGTGACAAGGCTGCTTAGCCTCATGCCATGGGGTAAAATGCGCCTTTTGCCCATCGTCGCCTTGGCCTTGATCAACAAGGATGTGCAAAAGATATACCATGACTGGTTTAGACTTAGTGCACCTAGACCTCGCCGTCACCCGCGGGTGATCAAACAAGACAAACAGTACTATTTTAAAATGGATCATTATTTTTATGCATACAAATCAGGTAAAGCGTGGAAATTTTATGAGATTTTATGAACTTCTATGAAAATGAGGGTCGATGAGGGTCTGCGAGGGTCACCCATACGAGGTTTGGCGAGGGTCGAGGGACAGGTGGAGGGTCTCAGCGAGGCCTAAGTGCGCCCTGTGCTTGGCGTTCATGTATTGACCCTTGGCATTCAATTATTCTGGCCAGACATTGGCCAAAGTTGTATATTTTTGGCAAGTGGTGAGAGTTGCATGTTTGAAATCCAGGAAGGTATATTGAATGTTGACATAGATTGCTAAGCGAGCGGCTCCCCTCCCGAATCTATACGCCTCTCCACCCAGCTAGGCAATTCCACGAAAAGCCTTCTCTGCGAGGATGGGTCGGCCACCGAGCGGTCCTGAATTCTACGGAATTCTTTATCATACCCCTTTTGTTCTTTCTTGTCCGCTTTCTTGCTTTTCCTGGCTTACTTATCTGCTTCTTCGTTTCCTTTGATGTCTGTGTGTCCAGGTACCCATTTCACCTGCACCCTGTCTGGCTGTGTGAGTTTAGCTAGGTGATAGGCAGTTCTGATCTGCCCGTCGTATGTCCCGCACCGGGACCAGGGTTTTTTCCGCTTCCGAGGTCTCCAATCCAAGTGAAACGGGGAAGCTTCGGGGCAGCGGTGCCGATTCTCCGGATTACCGTACGAGGCCCATATGACAGCCGTGGGCCGTAGAGACAGTATCGCGCAGTAGGGAATGTACGTAGTATTGAGTCTGCTGTAGAGTGCTTACTAGAACTAACTAAGAGCGTCCCACCACTCCGTACGATAAAACTTCTCCGGAGCTCACTAGATTGGTCCGACATTCATCCGATCTTCATCACCAAGGATGCGTGGAAGGACCCGAACCTCGACGTAAAATAGAAACACACACACACACTACTACGAGTTCCAACTGGCCTATGATATAGGCCAGTGTGTGCGCACATTTAAATAGACAAGCACTCTGACTGTTGTATATAAGAATTTATTGCCCTCTTTTGTTTTAATAGATTCCTCCATGTAACACCTTGGCAGTACTGTATAGTAAGAAGGGTGAGAAATGAGAAAAATGACTGGGTGCAGCATCCAATAACCCCACTGTAATACTCTGTACTCCGCAGATAATGCCTTGTGAGGCTTACAGCGCCAAACCCACTGTCAGCCCAGAATCTTTGGACCGCCCCATGATCTGCATGTGGCTTGGTTTGTCACTTTAAAGTAACTGCCATATCACCTTGCAATCCCACTTGTCAAGTTCACAGATCAAAGAGCCCTTGCATTGGCATACCATGGCAGCAGAAAATTCGCCTCACACACTCTTATCCATCTTGACAGCTGAACCGTGGAGATACGATGATGAGAAATGCTTTATTGAATTCCGCCCTGATGGCACAGGCCAGGTACATACTTATCCACCAGTTATTGGATATCACAACGCCTAATCTATTACTGTCCCAGATATGGATGGCGTTCGAATACACGCCTTACCTAGGTGCGGATATCCGATGGAAGTGCCAAGACCCCGAGTCCCTAAGCAGAATCATCGATATTCCCAAGACTCGAGGCCTACAGCACCTAGCCCAATTCAACATCAACATGACAATTGAAAAACAACCAATTCCGATTTTCTACTCCGCTGGCCAGCACAAATTCCACCCCGAGAGATCCCTCACAGAACCTGCCTTCCAGCCCAAAAATTTCACTATCCACCTGGAAAAGGGAATCTTCCCAGCACCTATCTGCATGATGAATCCAAAGGATGATCTGCATGCGCGCAAATATGCTCTTCGATTGGTTTTTGATCATTCGCCATACCCTCCGCCTGAGGAATGGACTGATGAAAGTAATCATTCAGCATCTGGAGCGAGAGTCTGGGAATGGACAACACTTGCAAGTCGGGATTTGGGGCCTTATCATACTCCATGGTTGGAAAGCTGTATTGTTATGTAGTGTATAGCCACTAGTTTTGCACTTGATGATATAATCAATCCAATTTTTACACTTACAGCACCAACTACAAGGCATGTTAGGGGCCAGGCCCGGAGACACTAATGACTAGTTTGGCACAAAAGATTTCGTTGAAGAAATATCGGACGGATGCCCGATCGAGCGGCTCTAAATACATGTGTGCGCAGTGCGGGTAAATAGTTCCTCCGATGACCTCTCCGTCCGATAGCCTCTCCGCACTAGACATATCGCTGTGACAAGGCAGATTTCAAATGGGGATAGTTCATATATCCTCAATCTCTATCTCCAAGTAGGAATAAAATGATAAAAATAAATGATCATCCAAGGCGTGTCACGGGCTCGGAAACTAGCAGATAAAACGAATAATATTCATATCTAGACTAGGTAGCCTAACGACGACTCGACGAGAATATCGAATCTGGGGAAGAAGAAGAAAAGGAAATCTATCTAGGCGATGAACGGTCTTCATAGACATTTGTGTGGTGCGACTTAAGCCCTTTTTTGCCCATATTTCTTGTATGGCATCGTTTGATATGTTGGCGCTGTTTGTCTGGCGTTGAGCCGTTGAGCCGTCATAAGGCGTACAATTGACCCCCAGGGCCCCAATCCTGTGAGGCTGTTCAGCAGTCAGCCTTGTTGCCCCCTGACTGTTGAACTCACAGCTTCATTTGACATAGTTAAAAAGGCTGGCATGACCGTCTAAATCATTTGGTATTCAGTTATTGTCTTCATCTCTTTTTTTTTTTTTTTTTACATATATTTATTCCCCCAGACATTACAATGCTCTTCTCCAGCGCTAAGATTTTCACCGTGGTTCTAACCATTATCGTCAGTGTCACGGCCTATCCAACCACTCTTGAGCGCCGACTTCCATCCGGACAGCTCATTGGGTACCGTGTCATGAACAGCGTAAGCTGTTTCTCTTTTCCTCTTTTTACCCGGTTCTCTAGATTAGCTAACTTTGGCACAGGCCCAAGCGAAAGAATGGAAATCTGCAGGCACCGTCGTTCCGGGCAAAAAAATCGGCCAGAGACAGCTCGGTGAAGGGCAGTACACTACACCTGGGATTGGGCAATGGCCAGGACCAATGGACAGACAGTAAGCACATCATTACTCATTCATATGTTTCATATACAATGATAATTGACTGGACATTGCAGGTTTTGTGCTATTTCTGCCAACGCCAACGCCTGGAATCAAGCCGAAAAGGCGTGGATTCCGGCAGCAGACACCTCTGGTAACAAACTCTGGGAGAATCCCATCAATATGGACATGTACATCAAGAAACTCGGTTTCAAGGATCCAGAGAAGGTTGCCCGTATGTCTGTCATCAAGGGAATGGAGGACACACTCCAGATGGTGATTCCAGATGCATTTACCAAGAAAGGTGGAGGCAACTTGGATTTAAAGTTTGAGTGTCATCCAAATGTTGAGGATTTCAACGGGAATACGCCTGAGGTGGATTATTATTCGTGGAAGGGTGTAAAGGGTGAACCAATTCATCCTAATACTGATTGTTAAATTCAAGTTAGCAGGGATATTGTTGATTTCCATATATGGTTGGGACCGTCGGACAGACCCAGATTTAAACTATGATCTATAAACAGCTTAATAGACTCGTCACATGATGGAATATAAAAATACTGTTCGCTTTCATCTCAATGTGGTATTCCGTTCTAAAAAAGACGCTGGATTGGCCTTCCAGTTTCCAAACATAGTATACGAGATGTCCCGCCGTTCAGCCGCACCAAATCATTTCTAAGTGCTGAACAGGTTGAACCCTATTGCACATTCAACATTCAACTCCTACTCGAGACCCCAAGACTCGAAAACGCTAAAAAAGACTGGCTATCCTCATACCTTGCTCCTGAAAGAATAGGCCAACAGTTCACAGTGGTGCACTTCACTATCTCCACCGTCTTGGCAGTCAGTGCATAAATTCGATCAGTGGGAAAGATTACTTACTGATCCTTCCTTGAATGTATTATTTTTAGGCATCAGGTCAACAATATTTCATCAAGAACACTTGACAGGCGTGGTGGATAGATATGGTTTTGTATGGGCCCTATGGTCTCTTGCAAGCGATCAGCCTATGATTCTTTCAAACATTTCGGATTTCTCACGACGTGGACCAAGAACCTAACAAAATCTCGCAGAATTTCAGCTATGCCTCAGAAGTGAAGAGAGGCAGATACACACCGTTGTGACTCAGGTACCCGGGGTCATTTGATAGGATGCAATACTGCAATAGCTGCAGTTGAGTATCCAAATTACTGGCGTTGAATATGCCTAGCAATCTCCAGCGCAAGATCCTCGCAGTTATCTGTTAGTAATTCAATGGCCCGCTTATATGCCCACTCAAGATGAGAAGGGTTCCTGACAAGGAAAGTGCAGGGCCTCCTTGGAAGTGCAGAGTCAGCTGGCTTCTTCTCCCTGCCAAGGTGATTGGACTGACATCCCAGTTTCTGCCACTGTGTCTGTTTCAAAACTGCGCCATTTATATGCTGTCCTTGCTTCCAATCCCGCTCTTCTTCTTGAGCGCGGACATTTTCAAAGGGAAAATCTAACTGTAAACAGAAATTCACATGTCCACGTTTTACGATCTGCAATATATTACGCTACCGCTAAGCGCTCATATGAATTGCCTGGCATATGGTCTGAGAAACAACAACTTGCTATTAGCCGCCGACCCCCGAGACAGGGTTGCAAATATCTTGAATAGCATGTACTCTAGGGTATCCTACAGTTATTCCTCAAGCTCACCAGTCTACCAGATCTGCACATCGCACCAAGGTTAAGCGCTTACAATCCAGACCGGATGCGGTGGCATGCTTCGCTCATCCAGGGTTCTCTGAGGCGGACTAAACAGTATATCGCTCGCATCGCCGGCAAGAACACTCATTCTCACTTACTGCGCTCGTGAGCTCGAGCACAAAAAAAAAAGGAACATACAACAGCCGGGATTCGCTGGTGGTCACCCACCCAACTACTAACCGGCCGGCGTGTGGCTTAAGTACGGCTGAGCGGACGGGAAGCCCTGTTCTCCACACCCTATGGTCGTATGTACTATCCCCTGCTCGGAAGGGGTATATGTAGGGTAAACGTCGTCAGGATATATCTCCACGATTTCGTGGACGCTGTACGGATTCGAATCCTACGTCGCTTTCGGCCCAATCCGGTGGCTTCTGGGGAAGGGTAACCAGGACTTGGCCCACAGTGCTGAATAACTACTGAATTATGTGTGGATGCTGGTTAATCTGACAGCTTCTCTAGCATCCAAGACCAAAACTATCCTAGTGCCTCTTGCTGTCCCAGTCTCGATAGTATAGTTCTAGGACAAAAGTCTACGTAATTTCCCGCAACTACGAAAATATATATAATCGCCAAAACATTTCTTTTCCCCATAAATCAACCAAACATCAATATTTTACTAGATAATTAAATATGTAAATAGATAAGTAGCATATAAATGGTAAAATAGAATAAAAATTTAATTAATAATGTGTATACCACCCCTTTGCCTCTAAAACTGCATTAACACGGTTCTCCATCGACCTTACCAACCCATCAAAAAATTCCTGTCCTAAGCTCTCCCATGCATCCTCCATGGCCTTATGAAATTGCTCTTTCAATTGCTCTTTGGTCCCATTAAATAATTCAAGGTCTGGATAGAGCATATATATTTGCTTTTTCAGCCTGGCCCAGGCATGTTCAATAGGGTTCAAATCAGGTGAGTAGGGCGGCCAGTCAACAAGAGAAATACCATGCTCATCAAACCAATTCTTAATAATATTGGCTGTATGTATGGGAGCATTATCTTGCATGAATTCCATACCAGATTCCCATATAACAGGTAGATAATCCTCAATAATTTCCAAATAGGAGCGTGAAGAATACCCTCTTCAAGCAGATTCCTCATGCCGACTCATTCGATAGATTTCAGTATGGCCACCACCCCAGATTGCTGCCCAAATCATGATAGATATTCCTTTGCTTTTGGTGTATGGAATGATATGCTTTTTTTTTCCATTTTTCATTGAAGTGGTTGAGCCGCCATACCCATTGATTCTTCTTCCCTTTGCCAAGCTCAACAGAGCATTCATCACTCCATATAGACGCCACCACCTGAACAATACCCTGGATGAAACGATAGAACAGATTCGCGGTCTCCCTGGTTTCGAAAGGTTTCTTCTACCACAAAGTGTTGACCAGATTATGGCTGCCGCTAACCGTGGGCCTCTGGTTGTTCTTAATGCAAACCGGTACCGTTGTGATGCGTTTATTATCAAGCAAGATCATATTGGCGCGCTGAATTTACCACATCTACATTTAGAGGACGTTCCCAAGATGGCCCAGATGATGAGAACAGATATCACTCCCGTTCTAGGATGGCTCTGGAACGTGATGGCACAGCATGCTCTTGAGTACCTGGGTTTTGATCGGCGGCCATCTGGCAATAACTGGCCTCATGTTTGGTGGATCCCTATTGGTATTCTCGGAAGAATTCCCATTCATGCAGCTGGGAATCATTTCAACGGCTCGCATGAGATGGTGCTCGATAGAGTCGTCCCATCATACAGTGGATCTGTCAAGGCACTGTGGTATGGTCGGCGACGCAAAATTCAAACCCCAACAGCAACAACATTACAGTCCAGGTATGCACTGCTAACTAGTCTCAATGCCTCAAACACTAGGCCAATCATCCCTACATTTTGCTTCAGACGAGATGAACATGCTTCGCGATATCTGTCCTTCCCTCAATCTCCAAAATATCGAGTCAGCTCAGCCTACCAAAGCGCAGGTAATATGCCACTTGAAAGGCTGCACAGTCTTCCATTTTGCTGGCCACGGAATTTCTGATTCTACAGAGCCTTCCGCTAGCTCTTTGATACTTGACGACTGGCAGAAAAACCGGCTTACTGTAGGAGACCTTCGTGATCTCCGACTGGAGGAGAATTCGCCTTTTCTCAGTTATCTCTCAGCATGTTCGACGGGGGTAATGAACACGGGAGGAATGCTAGCCGATGAGACAATCCACCTTGTCAACGCCTGTCAGCTTGCAGGCTTCCGACATGTGGTAGGGACCCTCTGGGAAGCATCTGACTCCCATTGTCGAGATTGCACGGATTTTCTATGAGACCCTTCGTAAGGAGGGTATGACAGACGACGCCGTGAGCCGGGGGCTGCACAGAGCCATCAGAGAGTTTCGAGACGTGGACGAGCAAATTGCAAATAGTAGATGGCAGGAAGATGAGAAAGACGAACCTGAGAATCTGGACGATGCATCGAACAACCCCACCCTTGAGAGCTCGGTAGAAGATAATCGTAAGTGTCATACTTCGAGCCCGTGAGGATGTCCAGAATGCTGACTTTGTGCTAGCAGCTTCGAGCCACAGGCGATCAATCGTCGACCGTAGAATGCGGTTTCCAAAAAACGCCGAAAGCGGCCGCTGCCCATGCACTGGGTCCCATACATTTATTTCGATGTTTAGCTGCTATTTCTAAGCTAGAGCCATCTAAATTTCTCTATCTGGTCTTCACTCGAAGGGGTGTGTTCATGTATATCGATGGAAAGCACATAATACGATCATGAACCATAGGAATTGCTAATTTACCCCAATAATTACTAACCAATTGCACTTTTATTGCTGCGATTGGCTGTAAGCATAATATAAACCATGCAGTCTGTCTGAGATGAGTGCATGTTCAGCAACGTCCGGCCCTGAAAACTTTGTGCGAGCGCACCCTGCTCTGAGGCCTGAATTTTGACTTTGAATCGACTTTGTGAGCCTGTTTGACAAGTGATATCAGCGTTGCTTTGCATATGCAGAGTGTTCAAAATAAAGGTTGAGGCGGTGAGATTGCTAGAAGCTTCAGACTACTTGATTTACAGATTCAGTACTCTTTGATTATATAGCTGCTAGAGCGCCTGGTGAAAACTTTCCATGTTCTGAGATCTCTCTTTTTGAAATACTTAGTTAAGGGTGTCGATTCTGCTAGAGACGTGCGTGCGTATAATATAATTTATCGCCAACCAATGCCCATCTGATTGACTTGGTTGGGCAGTTCTAGAAGTCGACTTGAGGCTTGACAAGAGGCCGAATAGCTGGTCGCGATGGCCACGAAGGGGCCTACCCAACTGCTCGAAAGCACCTGAGACTTTGGGCAGCTCTAACAGCTCAAATGAAATTGGTCGATCAGTCACAAAGACCTTAATGACATCCTCGCATGTCTCTCGGCCTCTTTCGGTCAACCATTCTGGGACGACCATCATCCACTCAACAAGCGCTGTTCCGGCGTGTCCATTTGTGTCGTTCTTTGGAGGGACGACAACATAGTCTCCTCCACCATCCTCAGAAGTAAGGCTATCAACCTGCCATGATGGTCCCATGTCGAATATAGAGACATATAAGGCCTTGGTGCCGAAGTTCTGAATTGATAGACTCAGCGTGTCTTCATTGTTGACCTCAAAAATACCAATTGGTCCAAAGTCCTTCCCAGTTTCGCTTTTAAGGCATATTTCGAATGATTCCTCGAAATCAGAAGATGGAGTGCGGTTCTCGATTGCTTCGATATACTTGAAAGTCGCTAGATGTTCTAACAGACTCATGGCGGAGTCGACTGCTCTTGGTGCATCAGTCGGAGGCAGACTCTCAATAGATTGACCAGATGTATCAAGAATAAAGTATCGATCTTTATCGCGTTTGACAATAAATTGGCAAGGCTGCGCCTCGGTCAGTTCGGAGATAATGTGCAAGTGGCGTCTTCGACGGGCAGCAGTCACCCACTGGGAATGTCTGTTCACAGATGGGGTCAGTTGCACCAGAACCTTTTGGGATGAAAGACTGGTGAGCAGCTTTGCTTTCCACCCCGTCTCGACTGGATTGCTTGACACCGTTTTATTGGCCTCTATGAGATCTGATGTGAAGGCTCGAACGGTGCTGACTTTGACCGTAATTAAACTCGTATCATCCTCGGACGCATCAAACGGATATAAAGCATATTCATCGCTTTCCTGCACCCCCTGGATATATCCAGCTCCTAAGCACAGTCGATTGTTCTCCGGGGCCCTGAGAACAGAAATAAAAGGAATCGCCCTTTCGGTCCCGAAGTTGTCAGAATCAATAGAAAAGAAACCGTCATGGCTTCCAAAATGCATTGGATTCTGGACAGGGCAATGCGCATGGAACAGTATGGATAAGTGCCGATATAGTGATCGAGACGACGTCTACAATCCCTTCTCCGAAGATGAAAGTGCGCGACGTAAGAAATACGAAAGGGCGCCGCTTCTGATGCCTCCTTCGAACCTGAGTTCTCGAGCAATCTCATGCGGGCCACATGCGGTAAGAATTGTGTATCCATTCGGGTCGATGAGCCATTTTGGTAAGACCCGAGCATCGCGAAAAGGCGATGGAATGGCCTCGTATTCATAGTCTGTACTCTGCGGATAGACAGCATCCACGGTAGGATTGTAAGGAGTAAATTTGATCCCATCCGCTTCTGAATGTTCACTGCGAAAAACACTTCCGGAAAAGCAACAATCAAGAATGAGCGTGACTTGAAGGCCCTTGTTCACCATGTCTCGCAGGCGATGTGCCAATTCGTGGCCTCGAAGATACCGACTTCCACAAGCAGCATCAAACAAAACCAAAGCGAGATCCTATCTTTGAACATTCCCAGAAATCAAAGGAGTGATGGAACCATGGCCGGAGAAATGGATATACACAACATCACCATGTTTCGCTCGCTCTGTTATCCCTGCCAGATTGGACAGTATATTGTCGTATGTCGGCCATAAATTTTGCGGTTTGGGAGGATCAGCAGCATCCGAGCTTGTCGGAGAACTTGCTGTCAAAGTAGAAATATGGATGGGTTTATTTCTGCCTTCAAAATAATGTTGAAGGTTCTGCACGTCTCGCACGCAGCCTTGTAAAGGACGAGGGGAATTGTTCTCCCCATAAAAATCGATGCTGATTAAAAGGCTCCAGCTACCATGTCGTTCATCCATAATTAGGGTTCGATAAAATCGAGAGGGAAATATCCAAAAAAGCTGTAACGTTCGGATTAAGCCGCAAAAGCCGCATGATTCGGCACTATTCCACATAAAATGTCACTTTTTATAACCTCAATATCTCAACTGCAAAGTATCTACAGAGCCTAAAGTTTAATATATAGAGTATTATGGTACTAAAATTACGTTCACTGAGCAGAAAAAAGCTTCAGATAAACATTTCTCCAAGTAATATAAATTACACCTGTATCTTTTGTATTTTTCAATATTCAAGTAAATATGAATGGTTGTGCAACTTCGGAATGTATATAAATATAAGACTATTTTTGCTTCGGAGATAGTTAGTTGATAGCGGAATGAGACTGATATAGATGATATAAATGTAGAATAACCTTGAATGTAATGGAATAATAATTGTATTCAATGCTTGATGTTGTTATATGTTATTATTGTCACAGATTACAATGCGGCTTAGAATAGGAAAACAGAGGTGCGCCGCTCGGTCGGGCGCGCCACTCGGTAGGGAAATACGCTACATGCCCTCTGGATGTCTCTGAATGCTTATTAGTGCATCAGCTTCCCCTCCAACTTCAACTCTACAACATCATGACTTACATCAGCCTCCCCGCGCTCCCCTTCGAGCTATGGGGATCCATCGCATCACATCTATCCAACGCCGACATAAAATCTCTCCGCCTGGCATGTAGCCAATTCAACAATGCAGCGCTTCTCCGCCTTGACCGGGTCTTCTTATCCGCCAACCCACTTAACATAGAAGTCTTTCGCGGCATTGCATCCCATGACAAGTTCCGCCACAAAGTAACCGAGATCATCTGGGACGAGGCGCGCTTGCCCAGAGGCCCACAGCGAACAGGCCAAACTGACGAGGGACATGAACTGCTCTCGGACGAGGAAGAGCCCGGCAACACGAGAGAGTGGGCCAGAAGGTACGGCTCTGTGTACCAGGAGGAGATCATCGAGCGACATCAATCCGAGGAGGAAGATGGGTGTCCTAGGTGGTTTAAGGACGCTTGCGAGGAAAACCTCGACCATCTTAGGCGGCGGAGGGATAGGGACGTGGACAGGCCCGACCATGTTGCGCGCAGAGAACAGGTCTTCGCTCAGCCTCCGCTGAGGGAGCGCTGGCAATATTATCAGCGTTTACTACGTCAGCAGAAAGATGTCCTTGTCGATAATAGTGATCTGCACGCATTCTTATACGGCATCAAGCAGTTTCCTGCTCTGAAGAGAGTCACCATCACACCTGCGGCCCACGGTCATCTCTTCGCTCCGCTGTATCCGACCCCCATGATCCGCGCTTTCCCCAAGGGATTCAATTATCCCATTCCGCGGGGATGGCTCTATCCCACAACTACAAGTGAGCCTGCGACTGCGTATGCGTGGAACGAATACCCCGAACTCAGAGAACGGTACCGTGGGTTCCGCACTGCGATGCGCGTGCTCGCCAATGAACCAAACTCTATTTCCGAGCTAATTATGACTTCCAACCATCTCCCGACTGGGATCAACTGTACGATCTTCGACAAGCCCTGCACAGAGTACGATAATTTCACTACAGTGCTGAAAACCCCGGGCTTCCGCCGTCTGGACATTGCCATGCTCATTGGCGGAGAGGCCGAGGAAGATCTCGACCAATGCTGGCGATCCTTCTTGAATGGACGGCTGCGCCGCGCACTCGGCGAAGCAAAAGATATGGAGGATTTCAGGCTGCATACGACAGTCATCAGCAATCCCTACGGGGACGATGACGGGGACGGCTACGGAACACTAGACCGACTGATTCCATTACAGAGCATCGTGCCTGTGGAAAAATGGCCGAATCTGCGCCACTTCGAACTCTCCCGCTTCCTAGTCTCACAGCCTGATATCATCTCCTTCCTCACCGCACTACCGAAATCCATTCGCTCTGTTGAGCTCAGCATGCTCAAGTTCCTTGAAGACGGTGGAGACTGGCACGGTCTGCTGGAGGATATGCGCAAAATGATACGCGAGAACACGCTGTGGGGGGACCGAGATATCGCTGCAAGGCCGAAGGTTAGGATTGGATTGCCGCTTATGCATCGTGAGATTGGACGGGGCCAGTGGATTGAAAAAGAGGTGCATGATTTCATTTACGATGAGGGGAAAAATCCCTTCTTTGATGATATGCCTTGTGATACTCCGTATGGAGTTGGAATTCTGAAGGATGTATTTGAGCCTAATTTTGAACGCCCGAATGGGAATTGGGACGATATGATTGAGATGGGTATTACCAAGGAGCACATGGATTATGATTCCAGTGCTCCACCGCAATACTGATCTCTACATCCGTGAATTTTAATCGATTCTTATGCTTCACATACAACGTCGATACAATTGGTTATTGGGTTTGACAGTTTGTGCAACTGCATCGACACTTGCCTCTTCAAAACGTACCTCTTACCATTTAAGCACCTGGAATGTAAAAGTTAGCAGATGTAAAACCCATTGATTTTGGTGGACTGACTGGATGTAGGCGTCGAGGTAACCGACGAGGCAGCACCCGAGGACGGAGTTTGCGAGGCGCTTGCCTTGGTACTGGTAGGCTTGGAGAGTTTCACGCAGTAGGATGAGCTGGCTCGAACTGTGCAAGGATAGTTGTAGGAGTCTGTAGCGACGCTCGCGCTCGCGCTTGCACTGCCACTGGCAGCTGAAGTCGCCTGCGGAATAACCCCGATGGACGAACTACTGCTGGATGATTTCTCTTCCAGCGAGGGGTTCCACAGAATAAAGTCCTTCGAGGGTCAGTTTTCATCTGAAAGGAGGAGAGAGAATCTGGATTAGGGGGAAGGGAAACACGAACCTCTGCAGCAATATCAGCTGTCATGGCAAGCGTCCAGCAATCCGCGAGCGGGTTGGTGGTGATGTTGCTGAGCCAGATGTAACTATTTCAAATGTGAGCCAGTGCTTCTCTAGAGGCTAGAGGATTCACTCACTCGTAACAGTCCTTTCTGGTATCATTGGCAATGGGAATGACGGGATTGGAGCCGGTGTACGAGCCAGAGAAATAGTTTGGTCTGGCGGCGGATGAAGGCACGGAGGTCATGGAGACCTTGTTGAAGTTATCCGTGGTGCTTCCTGCGTGGCCGGAGTAAGTTGTGATGTATCCAACAGCCTGCACGCAGTAGTAGACATCCTTTTGGAGGTTGGTGCAGTCCTTTTTGAGCTCGGGGTTCAGGAAAAGGCTATATACTTGTCAGTAAACAATCTCGATCTCTTCCAGGGCTGGTATTGAGGCTCACAAGTCAGATCTGGAAATGCCGGACTTGTCCGTGACGGTGTCGCATGTCTCGTTGGATCCAATTTGATAGTATTGGGCGCATTTGGTGTTAGTGCCGGAGACTATTGGCGAGGGCACAGGACTAGATGTTTTTATTAGTACGATGGCACCATTACCTTCTTGTATTCTGAAAAGAGACATACGCTGTGGTGGTGACGATGCTCTGTAAGCTTCTTGCACCGCTTGAAGATGCAGAGCTGGTGGCGGGGATGGCATAGTCGCCTGAGGGGTTGCTGACGCAGATATCCTTGCCGGAGAGGTTACCAAGGTTCCTAGAAATGATGTTGTTAGCCGCATTCTATCATCAATGTTTCGATAGTACAATAGATTCCAAGTTACATACGAGCACTCGCTATTGATATCGGAGTTCCACGAGAGGAGTTGCGCCCATGTGGCTCCACTAGACTTGCCAATACTTGCACAATTATCTCCAGACTGGACAGTGTATGTCTTGCAGTTGGTGCTACCCGTAGCCCGACGATGGAGAGATTGGTGGGCAAAGTGTGAAGCCTGCACAGAGGCAATCACGGCGAAGTATACAAGGCCCTTCATGTTGGTGTCGAGGTTTCCACGAGTCTGGAGGTGAGTCTTGAAGTGGGCAGTGAGAGGACTCCTTCAAAACTGAAAACTTAGCTTGTCTATCTATATCGTTGAAATCCTTTCAGTTACTTTTTTTTCAAAATCCCTCAGGGATCTGCATGAATCTCGCCTTTCCCGAGTTTCATCATGTACCTAGTGCATCCGAGATTGCTTTCTGGGTCTGATAACATGGATTTATGCCGAGCTATGCAGGAACCGGTAGAGATATGCCCGAGTGGTGGATATGGTTACCTAAATAGTCGAATTAGCCGACGATGTCACATTAATCTTTAGTTTCATTACGAGACATTTGATCCACGGTTCTACATGAGATTTGGGGGCCACATAAAAAGCAGGGGCCGTAGCCGTAGAGGTCCACAGGGGTCTACGGGGCCGGGGCCACTAGAGGCCGGCCAATTTCGAGGCTGAACAGGTGGATATACATATTCCTTCAAAGAACAAATTACCAAAATTTGTACACTAAGCCGCTTGGCGTCTTGGTATCTTGTAGTTTGCAGAATCCAAGGGTCCTTGATATCCTGCAGAATGGCTCATCCTAATTCGACCAATTGAACTTGTATACCCTAAAAAATATTGAATAAATTAAATCCGGAATAGCAAAGAGTAGAGGAACTTCCTGGCCTTCCAAAAAAAGAAAAAAAGCGGAAATCGCTCCCATGTGTTGTGTTGGTGCGCTATACTGAACCGTTCATGGCCCCGAGATCCCGAATCCATTTTTTGGGCATAAAATCCCACCTTCTCCACCACCCCTGCATATCGTTCCCACCTCTGGATCAGCCTCACCAGATGTCGGCCCCAAGCTTTTACAATGTACTTTGTATGTATATACGAAGTACTCCTAGTGGATATCACCAGGAGGCTGAGCTACAATGTATACTGCCTGTTCAGAGTCTATCCTTTTCTCCACCAGGTCCACCGTCGATCAGAAGTTTTCTGCCATGTTAGTTACGGTGATATAATGGTATTAATTGCCCTCTAGGTGGGATAATCACGTAAAGCTCCGTATGATGCCTCGGGGCTACCCGGTGGTGAACCATACTAGGAAGTGGGCCCAGTGGAGAAAAGGATAGATTTCTGAACAAGCAGTGTACAGATCTGCCCCTGACACTACTGCAGGCACTGTCACTTCGGGCCACTATGTCTCCACGGCTCACACGGCTCCGTGCCGTATCGGAAGTCATGCCTTCCTGGCCCTCTGTGGAGAGCGGATCTACGATCGATATGATTGAACGTCGTGGATTCGGCTCGATATGTGTTCTGAAACTCCCGCAATGTGGAACTTGCACTCGGAGGAAGAGACATGGATGGGTGGAACCACAAGGTGGAAAGAGACATACATTGCTGTCCCACTAAAGAGATTGGAACAATCTTCTAACCAGAAGGAATCTATATTAATACCTCTAGTGCTTGCTGCGTTGCACTGGCTGGATCTTTTAACTCACACGCATTCGTTTGGGCCATATAGCTGTGCACAACAAAGTTATACACCATGGTCTCCCTGGGACGGCCACCGAATTCGCTCATTTTGCTACTACTCTCTTTTATTTTCCTATTTTCATTCATTTCTACCACTCAAGCTGGCTCGCTCAGCCTTGATGTCTCAACCACAGACGATGAATACACATGCTCCTCCGACAAGCCGTGTAGCAACGGCGCTTGCTGTGGTAAAAGTGGCAACTGTGGCTATGGCCCAACATACTGCGGCACGGGCTGCATGTCCAACTGCAACGCAACTGCTGCTTGCGGGCAATATGCGGAAACCGCTGGCCAAGGCTGTCCTCTGAATGTTTGCTGCTCCGAGTTTGGCTTCTGTGGCACCACCAGCGAATTCTGTGGCAAGGGCTGTCAGTCTCACTGCACCCAACCAAAGCCATCAGCCGAGGAATCTAACGTCCAAAAGCGCGTTGTCGGCTACTGGGAGGCTTGGAACATGGACCACAGCTGTGGAACTATGGAGCCTGGTGAAATTCCTGTCCAAATGCTCACTCATCTGGTCATTTCCTTTGGTTATATCAGTCAAGACTACAAGGTCACCAACATGGACGGTATATCCCCCAACATGTACAAGATTGTCGGTGATCTGAAGCAGCGCAACCCCAAACTCAAGATCATGATCGCTCTTGGAGGATGGACCTTCAATGATCCTGGAACTTGGCAGAGTGTTTTCCCGACAATGGTCTCTAACAAAGCCAACCGGAAGACATTCATCGACAACCTCCTCGGATTCCTGTCGGAGTACGGCTACGACGGTGTCGACTTCGACTGGGAATACCCCGGTGCTGATGACCGTGGTGGCTCCGACGCCGATGGAGTAAACTATGCTCAACTCCTCAAAGAGCTGCGAGCCGCAATCACCGCCAGTGGCCGTGACTATCTGGTCACCTTCACATCTCCGACATCCTACTGGTACCTTCGCCACTTTGATCTGAAGGCAATGGCCGACAACGCCGACTGGATCAATCTGATGGCATACGATATTCACGGAGTGTGGGATAGCAGCAATCCAGTCGGCAACCACGTCCTCGCCCACACCAACTTGACCGATATCGATCTCGCGCTTGATCTGTTCTGGCGAGTGGACGTTGATCCTTCTAGCATTGTGCTCGGCTTGGGCTTCTATGGCCGAACTTTCAAGCTCAACGACGCTTCATGCTGGAAGCCTGGATGTGACTTCAGCAGTGCCGGTTCTAAAGGCCCCTGCACCGCCACCGAGGGAATCTTGTCGTACAAGGAGATCTCGCAAATCCGCAAAAACGCCGGAGGCACTGCATACCTCGACAAGGAGGCTGCTGTCAGGTACATGGTATACGATGACGACAGCTGGGTCTCGTTCGATGATGAGACTACGTTCAAGTTGAAGATCGATTATGCCAACAAAATGGGCCTTTCCGGTCTGATGATCTGGGCCATTGATCTTGATGACAACCGTCTCAGCGCTCTGCGAGCCGTTTCTGACTCTGACGCTTTGGGTAACTCCGGGTCCGAATTCGACCTCGTGGATCTCGCCCACATCTTCCCGTCGGACATTCGTCCACCCAATACCACAAAGCCTGTTTACGGTATCTCGACCTTTGGAGGTGCGGACTCTATGAGTCCCAATGGAGGCGGATTCGGATTCCTCCTCCTTGCTGGCGAGTCTCATGCTGTCTCGAGACTGCGAAGGCGAGACAATGAGCCCGAGCCTTTCCATTTCCTTGACTGCCCGTCGAATGTCACGGATGCTCCCAAGGAGCAGGTCCACACGGCTCGGGTCGTTTGTCTTAGCGATGATCTCAATGGATGTTTCCAGGTGATGGAGCGAGGCGTTGAAGGCACAATCGTCGAGATGCCTGACAATGTAAGTCTCCCATTCCTACTCTACCTTGGTTGGCTAAACTAACATGCGACTTACAGTGCGCTCCCAACACCTTCGCCCGAGCTGTTTCTCTTGAACCTTCGGAGAGTGAGTTTCTTATTCATTTTGTGGCTTATGAAGATATTTGCTGATAATTTTCACCAGACCAGGCTGTGTCCGCCAAGATCAAGAAGCGGAATCCCACTTCCCAGGTGTACGACTTCAAATTCGACTACAACATGGGCCTGAGTCGACGTGATACCACCAACAAAACGAGCATTCGGTTGGATTACTCGAATGTGAAAAACTACTGGGACAGAATTGTGGATTCACCCGGCATTGAAGAAGACGACGGCGAGAAAGAAGCTCGATCCTTGGTCCAGAGATTCTACGCGAACTCCGACAAGGATTGGAAAAAGGATTACGCAACATCCAACGCGTTCTTTGAGTACGAAAACACCAATGCCATCCCCATCAAGCAAAATATCAGCGAGCTTGTTTGGTATCAGACTGCCACGGATTGTGAAGTGGATGGAGAAGAATATGGCGAAGCTTTTGCAGCCTATGTCACTGGTGACATCGACGCTGAAATGTACTTTGGCTTCTCAATGGTTGCCGAGTACTACGGCGGGGAGCTCGACGTTCAACAGGCGAATGGGTTCATCAAGGCCGGCGGTAAGAGTGATTTGACATATGGCATCAACGGCTTTAGTGAGGTCGATGTCTCCAAAGCAGACAAGGGTAACCCGCTTCACGGCGCGAAACGATCCTTCGACCTCAAAGGAACGACCATCAGCGCTGGTCAAAACACCTTCGTCTCGTTCGATCCCTACCTTGAGGTGACGTACGAGCTGGCTTCATTCAACGGCTCCAACAGTACCGACTTCGGCGACAGTGCGACGAGCTTCATCGGCCATCTCTCCACCCGAGTGACCCAGGATTTCTCCAATGTTACCGCATTTTGGCCAGTCGATACACCAGAGGACAAGAAACCCGAATCCGGATCATTTGCGCCGAACGATATCTCTGTTGGCAAGGACAACAAACTCTTCTACAGCACCGGTGATGGCGGCAAGATCGCCGTCGGAACCTTCATGAAGTTTGGTTTGAATGTCGACCTTGAAATTCATGGGAAATCACGCCGTACGCTCGAATCGACCGCGGTTGGAGATGTTAGTTCCATCTTACCGGAGACTATTACTGGATGTCCTGCTTTACATGGTTTTACTAACCGGCCTTAGATGGGACTGATGTACAACACCATCTCGGAATTCTCCTTCTATCCCGCAGGTGACGATTCGGACGAGTCCTGTTCCGATTTCACAATAGCGTAAGTTGACAAAACATTGGGTTCAATGAACGGCATTAACATTCCAACTTGCATTATAGGACTCTCGTTTTTCAGATGGCTGATTCGTGAGTTTGACCCGAGCCTGCTATGACAACCCATGAATATCTTTTAACCAATCTCACATTGACAGGAAGGCGCTGGAGAAAGCTAGATGGACCGAAGATTCCACCCAACTTGGAACCGATACGGTAAGATCTTGTCCTCCATGAATCAATCTCGTGTCTAGGCTTATTTCCATTCGTGACGAAACAGCAAGCACCCGGCGCTGGAGCCGTCTGCTACGCCAACTATGGCAGCAAGTCTAGCACCAAGCGTGACCTTGATGATGATACTGTCAATAACTCATCTATTGCCGGTGAAGAAGTTCAGGAAAAAGACCTCATGGTCCGCGGAAACCCTGGATACGTGGCATTCCCTGGAGACTGGGATTACCGAGCAGCAGAACGTCCACCATCTCCGGATGATCTTCTCTCTGATACTGTGAACGATTACATCGGGGATGCAACTGAAGGTTCAACCGGGTGTAAGGATTGTGGATCTTGCACTGAAACAAAGGACAGGAAGAAGAGAAAGCCCTGTTGCGGTTGCGTGAGCATGGACTATAAGTGGAGCTATGCTGACATCCCCTCATATCCCGATTGTGCTTGCTGTTCGAACAGCTTTAGGAACAGACAGTGGCCCTTCGGAGGTAACCTCATCAACCTGGGCCCTGCTAAGAGAAGCTCCAATTTACCAGGAGAACTTGAAGAGAACTCCGAAGAAGAATATGATGAAGTGAATGACGAGGGGGAGACAACCGGTCATCAGCTTGAGGGTCGTGCGGCTGGTACGGCTGGCACAGGTAAGAAAAAGGTCACTATGTGCTCAAAAAAAGACTACGCCCGTAGTCCTGGTACATATCCTCAGTTCCCGGCAGCCCACGACTCGCCTTGGGAGGGAATCCAGCGTGGAAGGTGGGATTCCATCTCCAGATACTGGGGAAATACGTCGGCGTTGTGCACCGACTGGAGCGTGGCAGGTTTGACCTATGCGGACAACGAAACCACCACGAGAGGAACGTTCCGATCAGATTACGAGAGTATGTATCTCATTGATCTGGTTTTGGGAGTCTGCTAACAGATATAGCCGAGCATGTCTTTGAGGGCCAATTGATTGGTGACTTTTTCACACATTGGCTCGCCGAAGGTAAAATCGAAAACCAGTTGCCTAAGCCAAGCAAACCGAAAGCCAAGTGGTCATGCACCGATGCAGAGAAGTACGTCTTTGGAGACCCCGATAAACATTGGAGATTCCAAAACGGCAGGAGTAATCAGGCAACGACTTTCTTCATGATCCTTCTGAGAGAACTTGGCAGCGCAGGTCACCTTGACCGGTTGACGATCTTTAAGGCCCGAGCAAATGGAATGAAAGGCGGCGTAAGTCTTTGAATCTTCCTCTTTCATATAGCAATCCTGCTGACCAAATACTCAAGATGTTTGGCGGAAAGCAAGCTGTCAATGACAAAAAATGGGCAACCCAAAACGCAGACGAGCAGCTTCAAAGCGTCAAGACAATGGGCATGGTTTTTGAATACATGAACGACCCAGAGGTATGGGATAAGTTCTGTGACACATACGAAGCTATCTATGAACGCCTTGGTGAATTCGACGATTTCCACGCATCGCTGAACAGGAATTTCCCGAAACTGCAAGATGAATGGCCCAAGTTTATCGATGCTGTTCTGAGTTCGATGGCCACTCGGTCGAAGGCGACTCTTTGGTGGATGTTCAGCGGACGAACGTACGTGCATCCCCTATCTTCTATTCCTCTTTAATGCCATGAATGCTCACAATACCTTTAGGGAGAAAACGAACAAGTTTTACAGCACTATTTGGGGAATCAATATCCTGAAGAATGCCCATAAGATCACGTTGCCCGGCAAGTGTACTCACTTGCCTAGGTCCTAGGTAGGGTTTCTTGGAGAGATGGACTGAACATGTACATACAATACTTGCAATTCTCATGTAATTTGTCAGATCAAGAATCAGCAGTCAATCTGGCTAGTAGACTTATGAGCTATATTAAATCTACAAAGATAGGTGCATACCAAGGAGCATGTATCTGTTTGGCATGGGTGAGACCGATATGCACAACAGTAGAAGTATAAAACTGGCTTACAGTCCGAGGAATAAAGTATTCGCGCAACCATCCACAATGTACCCAAGAAAAAGACCTCAACAACGGCCACCCTCTGGCGGTGGACCGTATGGTCTTGAAATCTAGTTCAAATAGACCATTTACCCTATACAAGAATACCTTTTCCTAGGAAATGTATGTTGACTTGGTATCCCACCTGGGCAGCCCAATTGGAGGAATGGAACTATTGAAATTAGGTATCTTTTGTATGGGCTCCTCATACAAAAGGTACATCAATTGATAGGCTCTTTGAGCTTATATTCCTCGACCATGATATTCTATAAGTACATATGTAGAGAATAACTGAAGCTTGCTATGACCTACAGTCTTGGACGGACATAGCTAATAGTATCAGTCAACAGATAAAGACGATCCATAGTAAGAGTAAAGAATGGAGTGGGCAGTGTCTTCGCTCTTTTGTAGGGAACTTCATCTGTGTCACGGGCTCGGACCAGTAGATATTAACGAATTGATATTCCTATCTAAACTAGTGTAGCCATCGACGAGAATATCGAATCTGGGGAGAAGAAGAAAGAGGAAATCTATCTAGAAGACGAAGGGGTCTTATAGGCGTTTGTGTGATCTCGCTAATGTTCCTTTTGTCTTCATTGCACGGTTGGCGTTGTTTGGCGTGTTGATGTCGTTTGTCTATATCGGCGTCAGTGCAGCGTTGGGCCGTCACAATCTGATGTACTTCAAGAAGATTTCTACAGCTGGACCAGTGCTGGATTGCCTGGAGAAACTTTACAGCCTTGGGGTACTGGACAACAAGGGACAGCAGGAGCTGAAACTCAAGGATGAAATACTGGATAAATGCGTGTTCTGCCAGGTGGAATGGGAAGCCACGGTATATCAAATTGCCTTGGAGAAAAGATTGATGGCATCCACAGTGCGGTCCTGGATGCGTTGAGTCGGCGAGATTACAGGTTTTAATCAGATCACCCGGCCATACCTTCTCTGATGCGCTGGAGCTGGGGAATTCAACAGCAGTGGTGGGTATCCCCCAGCCTGCAGGTAGTTGGGTGCTAACCCAATGGATAAAAGAGGTTACAGATGCTCTTCAAAACGTCATCCTACAGCACTCATATATCCGCACCTTCGTCCGACATTATGAGGTGGATGTTGATGTCGATGTTCAGAGCATCATCCGCAAAACCGGTTCTCAGACACCGTTAGTGCGATTTGCTTGCTCATTGAGTGCCTTCATTGACCCAAATCGACCTTATAAGCTCTCTCCTGAGGAATCCAAGTCCCTCAATGAGCTCCCTGTTGTTCGTGCATGGCAGGAAGGAGTAAACAAACGCAAGCAAAAATGGGATGACCGCAAAGCCAAGTTAGACCGTGCCAATATTCACTCTCTAACTCATCCTAGAGCCGCCTACCTAACTATTTGCTAGTTAGTAGCTGGGTGACTAGTAGCGAATCCATGCTGTTGTATGTTTTTGCTTTTTTATTATTATTATGCTCTTCGATCAGGTATGAATTTTAGCAACAAGAAAAATGAATATCAAATTGAAAGAACGGGACTTGAAGGCCCCGCGTGGGGATAAGCAGCACTGAGAGCCCCTGGATCGGGCTTATTTGGGTTAAGAGGGCCTGGGAGGGAGGATGGGGTATTCATCAGGAGCAATAGTAAAAATTATGCACTGCAACTGTTTCTTTATCATACTGGAACAGTTCCACTGCATCGACACGAAATTCCTCATGAACACTACCACGGCCAGGCGGTCTTTGGACGGTAAAATGTCCAATACTTTCTGTATCTATCACCAGACTGATCGCTTGATGCTTAGTAGTGAGTCTACCCGCCAAAAGTCAAAACTGACTTTCCATCTCCCATTGACTCAACCCGGATTGTAGAATTTTCACTCTTCTGCGAATAATAACGAAACACTTGGTGTACTGGTTTGAGTTAAAATACCTCGGCTTTTTGGCCTACATCGGAGTATCCTTTTGAGTCAAAGAGACCAAATGTCAAATAATCATCTTGGCTATTGCGGCCGGAGACTAAGAGTATCGTAGGTGGTGATTGAGCAATATGGCGGCTGAGATCATTAAAGTTATGAAGCTTATCTGCCTTTGCAGACCATGCAATTGAAGTACCACCTGAGACTATGTCTTCTGGTAACATGCAACCGAGTTGACTTAAGACGGGAAGGTTAAAAATAAATCCCGATGTGGGCACCCCACGTTGAGCGGATAGGAGGTATGCTTCTTGGAGAAATGTAGGCAGATTTTCTGATGAATAACACCGCCATGCCCATCATTGAAATCTGTTTCATATATAGAAATCGTCAGGGTACTACCTATGCTTGTTATTATGATGCAAGTCCACGTGGGCAGCCTGTAAGAACCAGGTCTGGTTATATGGTGATTATATGGCCTTAAAAATGACTGTCTAGGCAATTATTTGGTTTTAATGGCTGTTTTGACCTAGTTTACGATCTGGAGTAGACTTGTGTATGTTTTGTCAAAAATGCGCCAAGAACTGCAGGAAATTTTGAATACGCTAAATGATAATGAAAATTATGTTGGGCCTGCCGCGGAGGACGTTGCTGGGTTTATGAAAGAGCATTTGGCTTAGTTAGATCGGCTATAGCTCGAGGGTAATGTAATCACAACGCTTTGATGATATGAATGGACGTCATGAACAATTCGCGTGGTGGATCTCCAAGTGGCATGCTCCGGGCATTTAACCAATGCTTGTGACACGCAATATATATAGTATAAGACATAGAAATGGGACGAAGAAAGAGGGTTGAGATTGGTATCAAGGTAAAAGCTGTCATAGACTGGTGCAGGCCCGTCGTTCTTCCGGACTGCTATGTTGCAGAAGAGATCTATACACCCCAGGTATCTTATTCCTCCCTCTGTACACCATTCTTTTTAATCTCATCCATCTTTTGCCTGGCCATCTCAGCCGCTGACCCAGCCTGCCCAGTCTCCTTATCACTAATTTCACTAAAACGCTGCTTCCAAAATTCCCAACGGCTGACGCTAAGAGTGTCCTTTCCTTTCCATAAGGGCCCCGTCCAGTATCTATCAGTCTCCGACTCCGCTTCGTCGTCTTCAAGGAAAGAGAATAACACTTCACCACTGTGAATAATCCACTGAGCAGCCGCAGCGACGTTACAGTCAAGGAGACACTCTCGTGGATTTTTTTCTAGTGCGTCACGCAGTGACCAAACAGTCAGGGTAAACCATGACACCATATCATGGTTTAATAGACGTGCAGCGAAGGAGTTGAAGTTGACCCATTCCGCTTTCCCTTCAGATGTTCGATTGCGGTGAGTACATTCGGGACCTTGATGAATATATTAGCATATATTGATGATTAGTTTTGGTAGCTGACATACTAATCCAGGCTTCTCTAACACTCGGGCCCAGCATTGGGAGGTCAGTCCAGATGTCGGTATCTCGCTTCAAAGCCATCACCGTCAGTACCCTGCAACAATCGCAATAGGAATATGTTTACGATGTACTTACAGTCCAAATCTTCACAGTCGTAGGAGGAAGCTCGGAAAGTGCATAAACCAATGCAACCAAACGATTCATAGATGGATGGTCATGGGGAACTTGCTTGGCCATAGCGATAAAGAGACCCCAGATCTCCCACATGTGACTCTCTGCCTCCTCCTTTTCCCCAAAGCTGGTGCCTATAAAGTCTCGCTTCATTGGGGTCAGGCTATCGATGCTCCTGGCAGCCGCGGTAGGCGATGTCGTGCTGGATGGCTGGAGATACTCGACCAACATTTCGAAATTTATCTTCTCTACAATCCACGGCTCGTCGACCTCGAGAGACTCGAGCCGAAAAGAGAGATTTGTCGCGATATCCATGATGATTGAATGAGCTGCTAATTTGTTGCAAAATGTTTCGATAGTTCAGGACATCAGGAGTGTTGGCATTTAAGAAGAAATACATAGCAAACACCGGTAAGGCTGTTTCGTCGGGGGCAGTGATGCGGGGTCCGTTTTTACTCAGCCCTCAAAGCGAAGACCCGGAGTACACTATACCTCTAGAACCCTCTGCATCAGAACGCTTGCAATGTCGACCCAGTAGGTTCTCTCCAGTTATAGAATTTGGTTGCCTGGAGCTCTCTATATAGGTCCGCTCCAAACTCGTGAAGCAGCTCTAGCAGCTCACAATGCCACATTACACAGCGGAGCCAACATTGTCGCGTACACAGATGGCAGCTTGACAGAACAGGGAGTTGGAGCAGTGGCAGTTTCACCTCTGGGGCGCCAGGCTATCCGCATTGGCTCCCCAGCTACCCACACAGTATATGCAGCGGAATTGCAGGGCATAAAAATGGCGCTTATCCAAATACGCAACGCGGGCGGACTAGCATTGCAATGTTCCCATCAGACCTATACGGCAATCATCGTTACAGACAACCAGGCGGCAATACAAGCATGCTCAGCTCCAGGAAGGTCTTCTGGCCAATATATCCTGAGTGAAATTACATGCACTGCATCTCAACTACAGGAATGTGGCTGGGATATATGACTGTATTGGCTCCCAGGTCATGAAGGCATCTACAGCAATGAGTGTGCTGATGCTCTTGCAAAAGAAGCTGCTAATTCCCCGGCACCCAATGGTGCGGAAGAGCTCACTCTCATGGCCAGCACTTGAAGAAGCCTCCGCATAGAAGCAACCAGTGCATGGAAGACTGGATGGGCTGCTTCCACCCATGGGAGCTCTCTCCATTGCTTATGGAAAGAGCATTCAAAAGCACCAATGCGACTATACCAAGGCCTTCAGAGAGCCGCTACATTGGTTCTCATTCAAATGCAAACTGGGAAGATTGCGCTGGCTGGTTATCTTGGTACCTTCTGTGACGGTCCCGAGCAATATGAGTATATTGGTAGATTATCTGACAAAATTCTAACATGAGGAGAGAAAAGGAAAGAGGCAGGCCTGCCGGCGACGAGCTATCTAATGTGTGTGAAGGGTTTAAGCGAGGCTCAGTGACTGTCCATGCTCAGTGAATGTCTATGCTCCGTGACATTACCCCCTCCTCCTGATGAAGGGCTGCCCTCAGTCCTTCGAAACTGGATAATCATCATCCCAGTGGTCATCCAGGAACTCCTCATCTTCTGCTGCGCGGAGCCAGTCAAGCAATTGACAGGGTGGCCCTGGCGCCTCTGGGTTCGCTGCATGGAAGACCTGCAGCTTTACCGGGCTGTTCTTGAAGTCTCAGGCAGGGTACCAGTTCAGGTCATCATCATAACTGATCCACTTTGCCCAGTACTGCAGTTTTCAGTATCTCAGTCAGGAGGCAAGGATCTCCTCCACTTCCCATTCATCTTGGTTGTTGACAGTGATTGGCAGTGGTTTGTCTGCATGCTGGCCAGGAAGGGGTTCAGATGTGGAGGCCCTGTGGAGGTGCTCTGGATTGATAACTGGGTGGACCTTGATAGAGGCTGGCAGGTTGATGTGGAATGTGTTTCCTTCCTTTGCAAGGATCTGGAAAGGGCCTGCCCACTGATAGTCAAGCTTCTTGCTTGGATGGCCTGTGTTCCAGTTCTTTGTTGATATCATTATCATGTCATCTATGTTGAAATCTACTTCCTGCCTTGAGTGATTTGCATTCTGCTGTTGGCGTGCCTGGGCAGTGCAGATTCATTCTTGCACCCAGTCCCATGTCTCTTGTAATTATTGTAGTTGTTGCTGGGCATTCGCCTCTGTAACTGTTCTATTAAGGTTTGATATCCAGTCAAAAGATGTCCTGGGGGTGTAGCCACTGTCAATGAG